TAATATAAAGATAAGAAGATTGATTAGATGAATAATAGAAAATATGAAAAGGAAGAATTTTATATAAATGATCAAGTAAATGATCGTAAATATTATTTAATCAATTTAATGAAATATGATGAAAATGATTATAAAAGCATCTGTATAAGGTGTTACAATTTAGATTTTTGTACAAAATATACTCATTGGGCTTGCAATAATATAAATTGTCAGATATCAAGAACTTCACATATACACAATTTTTGTAAAATTTGTTATAAATTATATTATAGTTAAATATTTTATTATTAAATTTATACATAAATTTCAATAATGATTATTTAAATCTCTTAATTTGTCAACATATAAATTAATCATATATATATAATATTCTCGTAAATAATATTTGCTATATTTATTATTTTTATAATTGATATAATTATTATTAAAATTATTGTTATAATCTAAATTATAATTTATATTTATACAATTATTATTATTATTATTATTATTATTATTATTATTATTATTATTATTATTATTATTATTATTAAAACTTAAATTTTCATTTGTATTTTCATTATTGTAATTACATGTATCACATGTAATATTTTTATCAAAACAATCATTGTCTTCATTGTTTGAACTATATTCATTATAATCTTCTTCAATTTCCTTTTTGTATTGATTTTTTTTTTCAGGATATTTCTCATAAAATCGTGATTTGACTTCTAATTAGATTTTTTTATAGTAGTCCTTTATTACTCTTGGTTCACGATTCCAACAATAACCTATATATGTTGAAATATTTGTCATATGTGGAGTGTTTATAATGGTAAGGGTAGAGATTTTGTTATTAGTTTATTAATCATATTTTAAACTATAATTTTTTATTAATTATAAATATTATTAATATTAGAATCTATCATATGAATTAGCTAAATTAGTAATATAAAAAAAAAAATAAAATAAAAAAAAGACAAAGTTAAACGGATATTATAATCCGAATCATTATTAATCAAAATAATATATAAAGTGAAAAAAGTTATATTACAAGTTATTAAAAATGTCTAATATTATTTATCTTTCAACTGAGATCATTATTAAAATTTTACTTTATTTAAAAGATTTGAGAATTGTATTTACCTGTAGACGATTTAATCAAATTATAAATGATTCTTCTTTTAAATTCGAATAGTTATTATCGAATTACAAATATTTTTCAAGAAATGATTTGATTCGATTTGGAGATACTTTCTTTAACATACAATTTATTAAAAAAGTTATGAATAATAAGAATAAATTTATCGATGATAATAAAAATATTGAAACAATTTTATTACGCATTGCTATTAATTTACATATAGCAAAAAAATATAATAAAGCATTATCTATCTTTAAAATCATAATTCTCAATATTGGTTAGGATACTATCATGAATATGGATATAGTGATTTAGAGATTGATGTAATAAAAGCTATGGAATTTTACAAGAAATCTATACATAAAGAAAATCATCCAGATGCTATGTATAGATATACAATTTATCTTATAGAGATAAATCAAAAGAGAGAGAATAGAAGTATTAAAGATAAAAAAATTCAATCAGATTACTCATTTATTTGAAAGAGCTGCATTAATGAATAATATTAATAGATATTTTATATACGGAGATATATTATATTATGGAAAATTAGTTAATGAAGTAGATAAGATAGTGGGAGGTTTATTCATAGAATGTGCTGCAAAAAAAGGTCATAAAGAAGCTAAATTATTAATAGAAAAAGTAAAAAAAGAGTTGAATATAATTAATTTTTATTGATAAGTTTAATAATTTTTTTAATTATTAATTAGGAATTAAGATTATTAATATAAAATTTTATAAATAAATATTTTTTTCTGATAATTTTTAAAATAATGTTAAAATGCCTAAATGTAAATTAGAGAATGATAACAAAGATTTTTATAAAAACAAAAGAGTTTTAAAGCAATTACCTGAAGAAATTCTTTTGATTATTTTAAAAAATTGCAGTATTGATAATTTTAAAGAAAATAGAAATATTGCAATGGTATCAAAACAATTTTTTAGATTGAGTAAAGAAATAATTATAAAGATATTTCTTGTCCAAAAACATGATATGAAATATAATCCATTACTAGTATATAAATATCATCTTGAAAAAGATAATATTATTTATAAATAAATGAAAGGAGATATAGTAATATTCGATCTATATATTATGAATGGAGTAGTCTTAATACCACTATTACATCATATAGAAATGGTTACTATAAAGTGTATCAAATCAATAAGATAGAATATATCATTCCTAAAAATATATTTAAAGAAAGATTTTTTAAATTTTTATATATGATTAGAGATATGAATGCAGCAGAAATCGAGATTTTACACATGATAAAAACCAAAAATATATAATAGATAATGAATGAACTTCTATCATAAATTTGTGGAATTTAGAATCGATATATGATAGTAATTGGCATCAATGTCATGATTCGAGTTATCATTTTACAGATTTTATTTTGAAAAAATTATTAATATTTAAATATTTAAAGAATAAAAACAGTAAATAAAGGAAATGTATAAAGATCTCTTTAAATGGGATGATGATAACGATAATAGCATTATAGCATAATTTTATTTATTATTTTTTTTTTTTAATTCAGCAGTCATGCCACGACTTTATTTAGATTTGTTTTCCAATTGAAAACAGCATTAATTAGTTATA